GAACTCATTGCCACTGGATATCATTGAGGCCAAGAGTTTAGTAAAATTTATAAAAGGATTAGACTTATTATATGGATAATGAGAAAATTGTATTATATAGGATTTAAAAAATAGAAGGGATTTAAACCCACATGCTTTAGAGAATAAGTCAACCTCTAACTGTCAGGAGCTAGGAAGAAACTTCCTTTATGGGTTGGCAGTTTCAAATTGTCAACTGTGGAGTTCTTTCACCTTCCACTGAAGCATCTGTTCCTGACTCATGTCAGAGACAGCAAACTGAACTACAGGAGCTACTGGTTTGATCTAGCACAGGGGTCGGCAACCTTTCAGAAGTGGTGTGCCAAGTCTTCATTTATTCACTCTAATTTAAGGTTTCTCATGCCAGTAGTACATTTTAACGTTTTTAGAAGGTCTCTTTCTATAAGTCTACAATATATAACTAAACTATTGTTGTATGTGTGACGGGTTGGATCACAGAAACCCCCTTGGGAGCTGCCACCCGATGTGCCAAGACTACCCCTGCTTCTGTTTTCCCTGCCAGCTCAGGGCTCCAGCACCCTGTCTTGCTGAGCCAGCCACTCCTGTCCGGCTCCAACACAGACCAAGGGTCTGAATCACTTGTCCCCAAGCTGCAAGTGTACCCAAAAACAGCTCACAGGAGTGTGCTTGTCTTTAGCACTCAGATGCCCAACTCCCAATGGGGTCTAAACCCAGATAAATCCGTTTTACCCTGCATAAAGTTTATGCAGGGCAAACTCATAAATTGTTCGCCCTCTATAACACAGATAGAGAGATATGCACAGTTGTTTGCTCCCCCAGGTATTAATACATACTCTGAGTAAATTACTAAATAAAAAGTGATTTTATTAAATACAGACAGTAGGATTCAAGTGGTTCCAAGTAGTAACAGACAGAACAAAGTAAGTCACAAGCAAAATAAAATAAAATGCGCAAATCTATGCCTAATCAAACTAAATACAGATAATCTCACCCTCAGAGATGTTTCAGTAAGTTTTTCTCAGACTGGACACCTTCCAGGCCTGGGCACGATTCTTTCCCCTGGTACAGCTCTTGTTCCAGCTTAGGTGTTAGCTAGGGGCTTCTCCATGGTGGCTCCTCTCTCCCTCTCTTCTCTTCCACCCCTTTATATATCTTTTGCATAAGGCGGGAACCCTTTGTCTCTCTGGGTTTCCACCCCCCCTCACTGGAAAAGCACCAGGTTAAAGACGGATTCCAGTTCAGGTGACATGATCACATGTCACTGCAAGACTTCATTACTCACTTGCCAGCACACACATATACAGGAAGACTCACAGGTAAACAGCCATCTGCAGACAATGGGAGTCATCAAGATTCCAAACCATCATTAATGGCCCACACTTTACATAATTACAATTGGCCCTCAGAGTTACATTTTATATTTCTAGTTTTAGATACAAGAGTGGTACATTTATACAAATCAGATGATCATACTCAGTAGATTATGCACTTTGTAATGATACCTTACAAGAGACCTTTTGCACGAAGCATATCCCAGTTGCATTATATTCACTTATTGTCAAATTTTTATAAAACTATCCCAGTTACATTATATTCACTTATATTTTTATAAAACCATATAGACTGCACAACGGCACAGTATGTAAAGTAAATAAGGTTTTTAAAATGTTTAAGAAGCTTCATTTAAAATTAAATTAAAATGCAGAGCCCCCCCGGCCACTGAAAAACAGCTCGCGTGCCCCTTCGGCACGCGTGCCATAGGTTGCCAACCCCTGATCTAGCACGTCTGTTTGTTTTCTTATTCTCATAATATAAACCCATAAAGTTACTCAGATACAAACCTGGTTGTTGATCCTCCCTACACTGTTTCATGAAGATAAGGTGATCCTTCATCCTGATTGTAAGTTCCTGTCTAATGTGATGTCTGATTTCCATCTCAGTCAGGCCGTTAACTTGCCTGTACTTTTCCTCAAACTTTATTCATATTCAGGGAGTTCAGGCTTCATACCTTAGAAATCCAGAGGTCTGTATAGAACCAAACATATCTGTTCATTCCTTGGAATTTTTGCAATTCATCAGTAGAAGACCAGGGGCCTCAGTCCATCTCATGTATACGAGATTATGATCTTGCAGGTATCAGCCACTAGGGGATATCAGAGCACACTCAACTAGGTTATGGTAATTTTTATAGGTGTTATGTTTTTCCAGAAAGCTAAAAATACATATTTAAAAGTTTTAAATGATCAGATAAGGCAAAAATATTTACAGGTTCCGAGTGATCCTTATGGGTTAATTAGTAGTCAGGAATTCTTTTCATTTTTCTCTTCTGTCTTTTGTGGGTGATGAGTAAGAGTTGACCTTTCATTAAACAACTGGTTGAGTGTATTAGGGTGTCTTAGTTTGATCGCTCAGAATCTCTCCCTTTCTCCCATAAAAAGAGAGGTGCTTGCTCCCAGGTATCACAATGCAACATCTCATTGCTGCCGTTTTCAAATAATTCATTTATTCTTTTTAGATATTAATATCACTTTGAATGCAGATTAAAATTTTTCACATACTTTTAAAGTTAGGTCAGTTTGAGCTCTTTAAAGGCTTACAGTACATTTGGTGTTCGCTACAGTTGAAACTATTCTTACTTGACTATTTAATGTGGTACTTGGCAGAATAAAATAGTGTTCCAGTAGATCTTAAACTATATTTCATGTGTTATAGCAGTGAGAGAGTTAAGAAGGCTGGGCTATAACTTTGGTAATAGAACATTCCTTAAAGTATACTAGCACATCCATCAGGCCAACCCCCTAAAGTAAACATCAAGGTGCAGTAGGTGATATCACTGTGTGCAGAGTTCAGCCTTGTTGCTCACAGCTTGCACAACTTGTAGCACACCAGAACACTGTGGAATCAATGGCTCACCAGAGTTTCAAGACATGATTAAAAGACTCAAGAAGGCCCTGAGAGAATTTCCTTTAATGGGGAATTGTGTGAGTGAGTATAGTGGGTGAGTTCCTTTTTTTTTTTCCTCTCTCTCTCTTGCTGTGGATATTCTTTGTTTGGCAAATGCTTCTGAACTTAGATTTAATGTATGTGCATGCATGTGTCTGGGACAGGGAATTAGTGTATTCTGTACCTTGCCATTCAGTATCAGAATAGCAGACCTATTATAGACAATTTATTTTGAACAAATATATTTTTATTGGAGGGGTACATACAGGTATGTATAAGATTTGTTGGTGGTAGGATAACCTCAGGTCTTTAAATAATTCCTTTGGTTTTAAGAACGTTGTACCTGCTTTGATTTAATGTATGTCTTAATTTGAAATGCCTTTGGTTAACTCTTTAATGTGCACATATTTTGATGCATATAATGTGCTGTCTGCACCATTCCCATGCATGTTAATAAAAAGTGATCAATGATTTTGACACTAAATGATTAAAATTACAGCTTTTTGAACTTTGCCATTTTGTCTCTGCTCTGTTACTAACATGTTTTGATGGTTCTTGTTTTTGTAAGTCTGCACTTAAAATTCCACAAGTATGAAATTTGAAATAGCATGTGCATACTATACATGGAATTTTGTATTATTCAAAGTACAAGCATGTTTTAGTGTTTGTAGACTGAGTATTGATTTGTTGGGAGACTGCATTTTGTACTCTATGGCCTGTCAGTTTTGGGTTGGTGTAGAAACGTTTTTTTACAATTTATAACAGGTCTGTAAGGGCACAGTCCTCCTTCTGATATGCAAATGTAAGATCACCAGTGTATCATGGAAAATCGTCTGCTGTGCTGTGTACACAAGCACAATGGGGCAGATTTACAAAATACATACTCGTGTTCTAGCTCATCAGAAGTTTGGATTGAGCTCTGAGTTTTCATTTTAAAAGCTACACTGATATACAAATATAGGGCCAGATCCTGGGAGGTTCTAAGTCTCTCCTTGGTAAAGTGCCTGCCCCGAACTTCTGTTGAAGTTAGGGGTTCTCAGTATCTTTCAGGATCAGACCCAAATCATGAGAGCTATTGAGTTTTTACTCTCAGAAGTTGTTCCCTAATGAGTGTGTATATGTGTGTAGACACAGAAATGTCATTAACCAATGTCTAAAATGTTATAAATAGCACCATTCTTGACAATCGCTGATATAACTGCAATAGGCAGCAATTCATTGGGTAAACCTGGACAATACTAATTTTTATTTGGTATATATTTTGCATCATTTTGAACTATATTCAATAAATATAACACTTGTAAAATGACTAAATAGTTGATTTCCAAAGTTTTATTATGATGTAAAGCTATCAGTCTTCACAATTTGATTAAGAAGACTCCCACCAGTTGGGAGCAGGGAAGGAGAAATATCCCCTAGCATTGCTTGATGCATTCGTGCCTGGGTTTTAATCCTCAGAAATATTTTGTGCAGGTCACTATAAGGAGACAGAATGCTGGACTAGATGGACTATTGGTCTGTATTCCAGTGTGACAATTCCTATTATGTTGCCAGAATTTGAAAATGTAGCTTTAAAGTTTTATGCATTTCCTAGAGAGTTGAGGAGTATATTCTCCTCTGTGTAAATGTATAACTCTCATTAAAGCAAAATCCTTATAATTGGTTTAAAAACAAACCTTAATCACTGTTGCTGCCCTATAAATCCTACAGATGCTGTATGAAGTACTGTATTGTTATCTCTGTGCATTGCATGTACTTACATGTATTGACTATACTCAATTGTGTGAAACATTTTGTGATACTTTGGTACGAAAGATGTTTCCTACCATTAATACTGTAGTAAAAAGTGTATGCACTTTAGTGAGGAGAAAGAAAAACAACTTGATAGAAAGTCATTGTAAAAAATTTGGAGAGGTGAAAGGGACACATTTTTGTTTCCATTTCCCAGTTCTTTGCCTTTTACCCAAAGGCATTTTATTATTCCAAACCTAGTGTTTTACTGATAACATATGGCAGGTAGCTTTGGCCACCAGGTGAATTTTGTTTGTTTGTTTCAGTCAAGTGCCAGATGAGACCACGGTGGAAGAATTGTCTCCTCAGATTCCAAGAGCTGTGTTTGTGAAGCAGGACATTGGTGGCAATGCCTCCGTCATACCAGTGTCAACTCCCCATGGCCCACAAGGGGAGGAAGAAAAGGAGGAAACTTCAGATTCTTCTGACTTGAGCCCTTGCAGTGCTACATACAGCAATTTAGGTAAGTGCATTTACAAGACAAACTTCAGCCTCCATCCCACTTAGATGGCTTATCTTGATGTGAGGGCTAGTGTCTCTTAGATCACCTGACACCCTTTTGAAAATTTTGCGTTCTTAAAGAGATATTGACCCCAAACTTCACCTACTTTTAAATATCAGTTTACAGTTCTTTGTTGAAAAAAGATGCTATTGTGTCATGCTTTAGGAGCAACCTGCAGAAGGAAGCCAGTGATGAAGTAAAGATTTATTCAAAATTCAGTAAGAATTTCATTTCTAAGCTTTCAAGAAATTATTTAAAACTGAGGGGAGGGGGAATATTTGTAAAAATACAAAAAATAGCCTTTGGGTTATCTGTATTAAATGTCTTGTGTAAGAGATGCCTTTTGAGAGAGCCACAATTTTTCCACATTCTTATCTTTCCAAAGCCTTTTTACCAGAGAAAAGTTTTGAAATAACTATTGTATAGATTATTTAACTCTTTCAGAACAATTATTAGACTAAAATATTTTTCCTGATATCCTCAGTGAAATGTAGGACTTTTTCTCTTACAATCTAGATGATGATTCCTGGCATATTTTGAAGCATCTTTGTAAATAAGAATATAATTGAATTTTATTCTAAACAAGTTAGTGATTTACTTTTAATCTTGCAGACCAATTGAAAAGATGTATGTTCTGAAGAATATGCTGCATCATGCATGCAGCCATCAATGAATTCCTGTCCCATATTGAAGAGTTGTAGCTGTTTGGGTTTTTGTGGAAGTTTTTCTGAGAGGCCAAAGGAGGGAAGTTAAATAATTCATTATCAACAAGTGACACCAATATTATAGGCACAATAGATTTTTTTAAGGATTTTTATTTAAAAGTACTGCGAAAATAGAGATATGAGCATATAGATTTCTTAGTAAAACAAAAACAATCAAAAACCACTTATTTCATACTTCCTTTATATTCAAAAATATGTGATATTAATCAAATACTGAAAGATTTTCATTAAGGCCCCAGTCCTGCAGACATTTAAGCATGTTTAACTTTTTGCATAAGATGAGTTGGCTGACTGCAATGGGGCTGCTCCTAAGTGTAATGTTAAGCATGTCGACATCTGTTTGCATGATCAAGGCCTAAGTTTTGAAGCCTTCAGTTGTATAAATTCTATAGATAGGTGAGTAATAAATATTCAGTGAAAGTATTGTGGTTGTTATTGGCTAAATAGCAGACAACTGGCTGACTCAGTTTCACAAATGAAGCATTACTTAGCTATTGTTTATAAATCACTTTGAAGATGAAAGGCATAATGTAACTCTTAATATTGTGATAGACCCAGACCCAGTACAGCAGAATAGCAGAAGGCAGATATACTGGCCACTGGATTAACAGTTTTCTGTTCCCTGACTGACCAGAGCAGGGGCTACTCCAGGCTAATGAGAACATCTGACTCCAATTAACCTGCAAAGAGTCAGGTGAGGCCATTAAGCTAATGTGACCACCTGACTCTAATTAAGGGCCCGCTGATACTATAAAAAGGGCTCACTCCAGTCAGGCAGAGGAGAGCCAGGGAGCCAGAGGAGAGGAAGTGTGGCTGAAGGACTGGTTAATGAAGACACCCTCAAGTTATTGATAAGGGAGCCCTAAGGTAAGGGTGAAGAAGGGAGAAGCAGGAGAGCTGTGGGGAAGTGGCCCAGGGAAATGTAGCAACTCTGGCAGTGAAAGGTTGGCTGCCAACAGCTGCTACCATTAGGGTCCCTGGGCTGGAACCCGGAGTAGAGGGCGGGCCCGGGTTCCCCCCAACCCACCACTACAGGAACACCTCCTGAGAGGGGAAGTCAGGCCCCTGTCAGGACAGGAGGCTAAATTGTCCTAAAACAAGCCCTAGGGACAACAGAGACTGTGGGAATTCTCTCACCAACCTCCTTGCTGGCTTATGATGAAAAGGGCTCAGTAGAATGTAACCCTGACCCTATAGAGAGAGAAGGGCTACGTGGAGGGTCACAGCGAGCCACTGAGGCTAGCATATACCGCCTAGAAGCGCAGGACCCACGGGGACAAGGTCAGAGCTCTGCCAAAACTGGTGTCAGGAGTGGGATCGTGATTGTTCACAGCGTGGCGGAACAAAGAGGTTTTTACTAAAAAAAAAAAAAAAAAAAAGGGCACTGGGGTTTTTGGTTTTGGGTTTTTGTTTGTACCACCATGGAGGAGGTGGTGAGAGCGCTGTTGCAAGCCACAGCGGCCCAGCAGGAGGCAACCCGGGCTCAGGCGATGGCGCAACAGGAGTCCATGAGGTTACAGCAGGAAACCAACCAATTATTAATGAGCCAGGCGACCCAAGATCGAGCCCCACTGCGCGAGGTTGTGGACCAGCTGAAGATCCTCACCACCCAGGCCCGGGGGTGCAATGGGACGCGAACCCTGAGGGCCACCAGTTGTCTGCCAAAGATGACAGCAGACAATGATATAGAGACGTATCTCCTCTCATTTGAAAGGACTGCTCAGCGTGAGGCCTGGCCCCTGGAGCAGTGGGCCAGCATTCTTGCCCCTTTTTTGTACGGAGAGGCCCAGAAGGCCTACTTTGATCTGCCCACTGAGGATGCCGCTGACTATTCTCGGCTGAGGACAGAGATTCTAGCACGATCCGGGGTGACGGCAGCGGTACGGGCCCAAAGGTTCCAGGAGTGGAAATATAGGGAGAACAAACCTCCAAGGTCCCAACTATTCAACCTCATACACCTCGCTCGGAAGTGGTTATGGCCTGAGGCATGCAGCCCAGAGGAGATTTTAGAGACTTTGGTCACAGACCATTACATGCGGGGACTGCCACCAGATCTCCGCAAATGGGTATGCCAGAATGATCCATCTACCTACTATGAAATGATCACATTGGTGGAAAGATGGATGACAGCCAGGGAATTAACCCAACTACCCAAGGAAGGCCCCTCACGAATCAAACACAAGACCCCAACCGTGGCGGGTCGGGCGGCCAAACCCCCAGGAAGTCCTAGGTGGAAGAAGAGGGAGGTCAAAAACCAGTCGGGATCCCAGAAGGAAGAGGAAGGCCTAAGTGGGGGGAACCCTGGGACTAAACCCCCTAACCCACGTGATAGGGGAGTGACTAGAAGCAATTATAGGTGTTATGGGTATGGGGAGTTGGGGCACATAGCTGCCCAGTGCCCCAATGTCATAGAGCCAATGCAATGTAACCTGGGGAACGGGGCAGACCCATGTAGCCTACTCAATATTGTAGGGGTCGCAGTCACCCCACATAAATATACAAGGCACGTAAAGTTGAATGGGGTAGAAACCATGGCACTCGTAGACTCGGGGAGTGCTATCACCCTAATTTCGGGTAAATTAGTGAAGCGCAGCCAGTTAATGCAGGCCAAGCGTACGGGGGTAACCTGTGTCCATGGGACCGTTAGCTACTACCCCATCATACCAGTAAAAATTGAAATTCAGGGAAATGTCACAGGGGTGAAAGCAGGGGTAGTACCTGTGCTCATAGGTAGAGATTTCCCCGGGTTTGGAAACTTGGAGGGAGAGGAGCTCCCCAAACTTCAGGAGGCTTCTGCGGTAGAATGTTACCTCCCATTTTCCGCGGAAATGTCCCAGGAGCTATTCCCTGTCCCGGGGAAAGGCAGGAAGACCAAAAGAGAAAGAAGGGCGGCCAAGGCCTTGGGTACCCGAATCCTGATACAAGGACAGAGGGTCGCCTGTGTAGGCAGACGTACATGGGCAACTGAAGGGGAGGGCCCAGAGACAGAGGAGGGGTCAGAGACCACTTCCAACCCCAACCTCACAGAGCCAGACGAGAGGGCAGAGACAGATCCCTCAGAGTTCGGGCTGTTAAGCCCAGAGAGAGAGACTTTTGGACGGGACCAGGTGGAAGACCCAAGGTATGAGAACGCCAGGAAGGAGGTGGCTGAGATAGATGGGATACCCATAGAGGGAAAGGCCTGGGGGCCAGGGCCTTATTTTGTGATCAAGAGGAATCTCCTATACCGGGTCGTGCAAATGCAGGAGCAAGAGGTACACCAGCTCCTAGTCCCCTGGAAACACCAGAAGGCAATATTAAGCCTCGCTCACAGTCACCTTTTTGGAGGGCACTTGGGAGTGGAGAAAACCCAGGCGCAAATCTTACGCAGGTTCTTTGGCCGGGGGTACATGAAGACGGCCGGCGGTACTGTGCCTCTTGCCCCGAATGTCAACTGCACAGCCCTCGTCCACATCTAAGAGCTCCTCTGGTACCCCTGCCGATCATCGAAGTTCCATTCGAGCAGACCCGAGGCCACCAGTATGTGCTTGTCATCCTAGACTATGCAACCAGGTACCCAGAAGCTGTCCCCTTACGAAACACAGCTTCCAAGAGCATTGCCAAAGAATTAGTGGCAATCTTTGACCGGGTAGGGCTACCAAAAGAAATCCTCACAGACCAGGCAACACCATTCATGTCCAAGTTGATGAAGGACTTGTGTTCCCTGCTCCATGTCCAGACCCTGCGGACCTCGGTTTACTATCCACAAACCGATGGTCTGGTGGAAAGATTTAACCGAATCCTCAAGGCCATGATAAGAAAGGTGGTAAGCAAGGATGGGAAAGATTGGGACAACCTACTACCATACCTCATGTTCGCCATCCGTGAGGTCCCCCAAGCTTCCACCGGATTCTCCCCCTTTGAGCTGTTGTATGGACGCAACCCCTGAGGCATCCTGGACATAGCCAAGGAAATTTGGGAGGAGGAACCCAGTGAGGGGAAGAATGTAATAGAACATGTACTACGGATGAGGGACCGGATAGCCCGGGTCACTCCCATAGTGAGGGAGCACCTGGAGAAGGCCCAAGAGGCCCAGAGAACGTACTACAACCATCAAGCAAAGCTTTGTCAGTTTCAACCCGGTGACCGAATAATGGTACTGGTACCCACGGCCTAAAGTAAGCTGTTGGCCCAGTGGCAAGGGCCCTATGAAATAGTTGAATCCATAGGGAAAGTAAATTACAAGGTGCGACAACC